TTAGCGAAACATCCCATGTAAAAATGTGAAATCTGTACACTTTGCAACAACGTATCTAGTCTCGCAATATATTACATGATTTCCATTAAAAAGAATGCGGACATTGAAATCCCTTTACCGTAAAGCTGTAGCGATCGGATATTCATCGTTGCCATTGTTAGCAGCACATAAAATCCTCTAAGTCTAATTATTAATTAGTTGCTTTTGTTTTAAACCGTCACTAAATACTACTTTGTTAGTATCCTGTCTATTGCCGTTTTCAGGAAAGTCTTGAGAGGGATTATAAAATTGTAAAGGACAAAGTGCATCCTTAACATACAAGACAAGGCCTAATTAGAGCACACAAATTATCAGACAAAACATAATTAGCTTTCTACTTTCATCATTACGTAATCAGAAAGATCTTTTAAACCATCTCACCTTATATTATTGAGTTATTAGCATGAAAAGATCGTTGTACCTTATTGTATAAAATTCCTTTTAAATGTAGAGCCACATCACTGCTGTAATTTAAATACTCTCATTTAAAGTATTTAAATAGTCAGTTATTTGTTTCTTTTTTTCTCTTGCAAAACAACTTGATAATGTCTAAACCATACAGACTGCCAGGTTAATTTTTAGATTAGCTTTAAGTACATAGTTTGCTCTGAGGTAAGGAGTCTAAAATGGAACACAGTATTCCAGTTGTGGCCTAACCAATGAACTATACAAAGGATTATAACTTCTTTAGATTTATGTTCATTATTTCTGTTCATACAACTTAAAATCATATTTTCCATGCTGCTAGCAACATCATTTTACGTGATTTAACTGTATGATCAATTAGAACTCCAAGATCCTTTTCTTCCATAAATTTATTAAAGTTATTCCCATCTTTGAAAACTGTGGGGTAAATGTTATCTGGCTTCCATAAAATTATTAAAGTTATTCCTATCTTTGAAAACTGTAGGGTGAATATTATCTGGTCGAGGTACTTTATCATTCTTTAAACTTCCCAATTTTCTCTGAAGAAATTCTGAATTGATGTAGTCATCTTGTTCAACCTCGTTTCCATCTAACAACTATTCAGGTAGAAGAATATTACTTAAATCTTCATTTGTAAAAAACCGAAGAAAAAGTAAAATTTGATAACACAGCCATCCCATAATCATCATATATATTAGTCTTTCAGTATCATCCCTCCAAGGTCCTACTCTCATCCTAACATTTTGCATACCCTTAATGTACTTAAAGAAATTCTTACTATTTATTTTTATATTTTCAATCAACTTTTTTTTCATATAATTTTTTATTTCTTAATTTCCTGTTTGACCAATTATCTTGATATTCTACAGTCCTTCAAATCTCCTACCATTGCAGTGAATTTATAATGCCTTTCTTTAATTTTATCCTTTGCATTATTTGTGAACCAACCTAGGTTTTTACTTCCAGCCGCCCTTTTTTGTCTATAAGGAATATGAATATCTAGAATATATATATATCAATTTATTTTTAAATTTGTTTCCACACTTGATCAGAATCTCCAACTAATTCAGTTGCCAAATTGAAAACGCATAATTTTTGTCTCATTTCTAAAATTCGCTTTTATGAAATTTGGAACCAAAATTGCATTACTCCTTATATTCATATGCAGAAAAACATCAAATGTAATTGGCCAAAGATCTCTTCCATTCAGATGTTCGCCAACATCTACTCTATCAATTATTTCTTTATCAGAAGTGAACAATAAATCTAAAATGGCATTGTTCCTAGAAGTTCCCTAACCAATTGTTAACGAAAACCATCCTGAACAGTTTCTAAAAACTTACCTCCCTTATGACTGTAACATTTCCTAATCAATGTACTAGAAATTAAACCTCTCATCAATACACAATGTAGTGTGTCGTGTTGCCAAAACAACCTGCTGCAGGACACACTGTGTTTTGTTAACAAGAGTGATAGTTTAGCGATTTTTCACCTTCTGTATCTCGGACTGTGTTAATCCAAATTATTACATATTTTCACTGGAAATGCTCGACTTCGTACTTCACATACCATATTTCAAGGCAATCCATAAAGAAATATTTGAGATATAACATCTCCAATTTTGATTGAGTTTCTTCCCCTTTTTTGCACCAAAAGTACGGAAACTTTATTTGATATAAAAACATACTTAAATGTTATGGATTTTTTTCACATTTGGTGCATTGATAGATGTTTTCAACCTACAATTAGGAGTCTCATTTGGTGTAAATATAAGCCATATGTGTAAAGTTATTCAACAAAAACCGCTAATATTTAACGAAAATGTTTGCGTACGCCTACGCAAAAAGTCACGTAAGCTAGCGGTCTAACATTTTTACTACAGCTTTACTTAAGAATAAAAGTGGACCATGTTTAGTTTTTGTCATTCGGATTAAATACCGCTGATTTAGAGTGGCAAAACTGTAAGGTGAAAGGACGTGCATATACATAAGTATTGGTTAGGCCAAGTAAACTAGATTACCCACCATCATGCCCCAAGTTGAACAAAAAATGCGGCCTGACTAACTAATAAATGAATATTTGCTGTAAAATTTTTATCAATCATTCATTTAAGTCGCATGCTCAATTCTTTTTTTTTTGTCTGCATCTTTTTTTTTTCACATGAAGATGTTTTTGGTTAGATTATTATAACCTTATTGACAATATAATGCATTATCTCCCTGTAGAATTTTCACTAATTTCATCATTTTCGTGTGGTTGTCTGTAATAAATTTTAACTAAAAGCCTTCTCCCCTATAGCCACTAACAGAAACCCAAATATATCTAACCTTATTGCTATTAGCTTTAATATCATCAACTTGAACAACCCATAGCTCACATTTTGCATATAAAGCCACTCCTCTCACTCTTTTTTCTAGTACTCTATCCCTACTAAACAACTTATAACACTACATTTCAAAGAAATTTATTTCATCCTAAATGGCTATATTTAGCCATATTTCAGTCATTCCCATTATATCAAAACTCTGTGTTCTGACCAGTAGTCTAAACTCATTCATTTTATTTCTTATACTTCAAGTATTACAATAATACCTACCACTTTTTTACCTTGTTCCCACGCTATACATCTTTCTAAATCTTATTTTTTCTTTATTATTATGACCCTCTCTACTGCTTAATACTTGTTTAAAATTGCCCTTACAGTAAGTTAATAGCTCTTGCAAACAAGCCAACCTCTTCCTTGTTTAAATGTAAGCTATCCATTCCGAAAAGCTTCCTTTTGTCATTAAACTTATCCCATAAATGTAGCGACCTACTTATAAATTTACTCCCACTGTTAGATCTTGGCAGTATCCCTGACAGAATTGAGTTATTACAGCCCTTTATTTGAATGCCTTTATTAATGCCTTGTACTTAACAATTAGCTCCTCTGATCTACCATTGCCTACAGCATTAGCCCCTATGTGAATTACAAAGACTGTATCTCTACAAATAGTACTAATATTCTTTACTGTATCACTTAATTTGTCAGTTATATCCTCCACATCTGCTCCTGGATTGCATAATCCAACTCTTTTCACCCTATTTAGCCCACAGACTATCCACTATCTTATATCAATAACATCCTTATGTTTTTCATTCCAATCCCTATCTGTCCCTTTTGTTATACTTCCCTCCTCAAGTTCACCATTTACATAAACTAATGCTGAAATATGTTCTTTATCAGATTCACTATTTATAATTAAATCTATCACCATTAACCCTACTACTACTACTGTTTCCAACATACTGAAAGCCATCATTAACCCCTTTATCCTTCGTATACAAAAGACAAATGTCCTCTTTAAATCCTGCTATCATCTCTCTTAGTTTACCCTTTTCATTTTTCATCACCTCTACTCTGTTTAAAACAGCCTCAGATTTCTCCTACAAATTGTACATACCAATTTTACAACTTCACTGCTAACTTCCTTAAATGTGTATATCAACCTTTTTTTCTTGCACTATCGCACCGTACAAACTATGGGCGATTAACAAGTACACTACTTTTTAACTATTGTAGCCTAATGTTAGGGCCCGGCATAGCCAGCTGGTTAGGATACTCGACTCGCAATCTGCGGGTCGCGGGTTCGAATCCCGTCTCTCCAAACATGCTCGCCCTTTCAGCCGTGGGGGCGTTATAATGTGACGGTCAAT